GCGGAGCGAAGATTGAATGAACTTTAATAGAGCCAAATTCAAAACAACAGTAATACTAAACGCGAAGGACCAGGACTGTAGGGTTCAGGGTTCGGGCTGCTTAAAGATTAGGCTTGGGGCTTCATTATCTGGGTACCTCTGCAAATAATTACCTCCTCTCCCGGCAATCAGGTTTCAATATTGGGGGTAAGAGGCGGGGTTCCTTTCATATTAGGGGAAAGGAACTTATTACTGCGGCCAGCTACCCCTCAGACCACAGACAGTCATCTCGTTAGCTGCAGCCCTGCCACTCGCTCAAGACCATTCCCTCCCTCATCCGTTGGCCACTCACCGTCGCATCCTTCGGCTGCAACCCTGTCATCTCCGTATGCTCCACCTGTACACCTTGGCCCATTGCCGGGCGCAGATGAGGAGCCTCTGCAGATCATTGGCCTTGAAGTCGCACAGGTTAGGCGCCATGACAGAGTCTCAGTTATTGGCAAATAAATGGGCGCTGGGTAACACTTCGGCCCATTGCCGTGCGAAGATCAGAAGCCACTCCAGATATCTCCGGTTCGTTGGAGTTGAAGCAGCGCAGATCATGGTGAGAAGGCGCCGTGGCAGACGCTCAGTTCGTTGCAAATAGGTAGGTAGATAGGTAGATAATATGTCAAGGGTTTGAGGGTTGAGGTCTGGTTGGGGCTTATTCCGGTAATACGGTTTTGGAAAAATTGGAGCACCTGTATAGAGGATGGCTTTAAGATTCATAAGCTGACTCGGACTGCGCATGACTGAACAAAGTTTAACACCAAGTAGCGACTACGTGCTGGAAGATTCTTGTTGAGGCGAATTGTCTAAGAAGTAGTGCGAAGCCTCCTCTTCCGCCTCCATAGCAGCGTGCACTCCTGGAACCACTCACAGAGCTTCTCCTGAATACTAATAAGGGTGTAGAACTCAGAAAACCGAACAATACCGTCAACAACCCCGAATAAGCATGCTTGAGTATGATTAAGATGACCGCAAGCAATGCAGTGCCGAGGCAACGACCTTGTTGATTGGAGCATCGAGTCCATGGCAAGCGCTGGCATCGACATCGTCCGTTTAGGAGCGACCCTGGGTGCTAGATTCTGCTGAGTTCTGTGCCCCAAACCCTAACCCCTAAAACCCTAAACCTTTCTGGTATTAGGGTTCAAGGAGCAGGGTTTAGGGTTTAGGGGGCACTGCTAAAAGCTCTCGGCTGAGTCATCCTCTGGTTTAGGATTGGGGCTTAGTAAGTAGGATAACTAGAGTTGTAGCCTATGTTAGGGGACTTATAAGCCCTACTTACAACTACCCATGAACCTCCGAGTATAGGCCCCAATATACTCGGGACTTAGGGCTGCTGGTCAAGACCGTACTTCCACCTTGAACGACCACAGCGTACATCTTTATGGGGTCCCTATAAACTCTATGTCGGCTGATTGACCCTCCTCCTACAAAGAAAGTAGGCTACCATGGTTTGAGGTAGACCAGCTGTGAAAGTTGCGGAAGCACATTTTGGGGTGTTGGGATTCTGCAAGTTGAGGCCCTAGAGATGCAGGGGATGGCCTGATGTAGGGATAGAGTTGTTTGCTATGAACCAGCACATGTGCTTTGTATCGCCTTGAGAGCTTTTGCAGACACTCCTGCGAATCAGGTTACACATGATGGGCGTGGCTGGGCTGAAGAAGGACTTCTGGACTCGTGTGTTCTCTGACTTCTTTTTTGTCCCGACGAGAACTTGCTAGTGGGTGGCAGTTCCTTGTGGCCTACATAGCTTTGATGATGGAACCCAAGAAAGTTCAGCACACAATCGACATCAAGATAGTCCTGTAACTTCGTGCGCAGCAATCCATCCATCATGCTTTGGTGGTAATCATTCGTAGTCGTCATCGTCGTCACAGCCGTAATCGGAGAAGTCGTCCTCGATGAAGTAGCTGCCTTGACAGAAGCAGCAGCAGTAGCACCACCACCACCACCACATCAACAAGTAGCTGCAGTAGTAGTAGTAGTAGTAGTAGTAGTAGTAGTAGTAGTAGTAGTAGTACTCGTCGTCGTCGTAGTAGTAGTAGAAGCAGCAGCAGCAGGAGCAGCAGTAGCGGGGTAGCAGTAGTAGTAGTAGTAGTAGTAGCAATCGGCGTTGCAGTAGGAGTAGCAGTACCTGCACTACCTCTAATCGGTATCATTGCTGACTCCGTTGACGCCGTCCAAAAACATGAATGTCCTGGGGCCGGCCATGCAAGCCGCAAGTACTCCGTTGGACTCCGTGACGTCTCTTCTTGTTGATGCTGTTGTTAATCCGATCGCGCGGATGTCCTGTCTTGCGTTGACAGATTGGCTTACGCGCGTGTGCGTGTGTGCATTATCAACCATTCCTTCTTCTGCACTTCAGTTCCAATAACAATTTGCTGCCTTGGTAGCTATTATCTGTAAATCCGCACTCTGCTGCCAGGTTGGTGCTGGACCTCTAACTGTAGAGTATAAATCCAAAGAAAACAACGGGTTCAGGGATCAGGTGTCAGTACTAGAGTCCCTCAACAGCGGAATGAACTTTTGATCACTTTTGATCGCCGGAATAATCCGCCTTGCCTCGCTAGTCGGAGCTGGCACACAACAAGTTGCCGCATACGCACATTCCAGCACGCAGACTCCCTATGCATTCGTGTTGTGAGGTTGCTTCCTAGCACACCATGTCATCCAATAAGTTAAACCCTAAGCCCTAATCACTAACGGCGATTAACACGAACACTTGCACCAGAAACTGAGAGCAAATAACAAAGATTCGAAGCTGAAACAGTGATGTCCCCAAACCCTGAACCCTGAAACAATCCTCAAACTTCCTGTGGCCGGGCGAACTCGCTGATGCTAGCAACGGCACTGCTACATTGGTGGTCACTTGTTCAGCCATCATCGGATGGAAGCTACACAGAAAAGAGCAACACACCAACAAAACGATAGCTCGAATTCGCGAAGGTAAATGAGAAGAAGGATAAAGAGAAGAAGGGAAAGAAGAAGCACCGATGCGTAAACACAAGCTGAAGCGACGGCCAAGCAGAAGCAGAAGAAGCAGCAGGAGAGGTGGCAAGAGGGGCAGCAAACCCAAGAACACCGCCACTAATAACAACGACAAGAACCACAAGATACTGGAGACTGGTACGCCGAAAATACACGCCGCCAGGGCGTACCATACTGAAGATTAAAAAGTAGGAAGGTAATAACAACAACCTGAACACGAACAAAAAAATGAGAATAAGAAGCGACTGCACAGTCAGTGGCAACAGCGATTACTACAACGACATCGACAATAACCAGAGCCAGGCAGCGGTTTAAAGTCACAGATACAATGAGAGTGTGGTTGTGCCATTTAGGGTTTAGGGTTTAGGGGTTTAGGGTTTAGGGTTTAGGGTTTAGGGCTACTATAAATAATGAGAGTGTGGTTGTGCCATGTTGTATCTGAAGCTTGATGGTGCCCGTCGCACTTGCCAGAAAGTGCCCGCAAGCGTCAATGCTGTCATATGAAGTGTACATTGTACAAAGACCGGCTGGTGCGGACTCTTGAGTCACGGCCCTCATAGCTGAAATGCAGTAGCCGATCAGCCAAGTTGTAAAGCTATGCCTCAGAGTTCAGGGGCAAAGTAGTCCGAAGTAGCCCTGTGTCACGCGCGCTAGCCGCTAGATACCGAAAATGAACAGTAAATCTCCGGCGTCCCGACATGGCGAATCCTAAGCCTGACGATTGCGGCTGTGTCTCAAGGAGGCCTTCGTATGGAAACTCCAAATGATTAAATGTGCAGGGCTTAGAGCAATTCGGGCTCAGGATCTAGGCTTGAAACCCCAGTTTGCATTACCTGGTTGAGTTAGTTGTGCTCCCTCGGCGGAGTTAGATTTGCGCTTTGGGCTCGCGAAGTCTGAGTCGGGATTGAGGGACCATGTATGAGGTTCGCCCTTACGTTTGCTCGCGGTAGGGGTTCAAGGTTTGGACAGAGCATTTGTCTAGGGTAGGGCTTTGGCTTAGGGTTTCCTGCTTGATTAGTGCGGTAGAGCCAAAGTCGGCAAGTGTGTGCTTTTGTCGGGTCATGTGTTTGGCAAACTCTAGAAGAGCCGCGCAGATGATATCTCTTAATCCCGGCATGCTTCAGCATGCGCAGGGATTACTGAAGTACTGCCGTGCAGCGCACGACGCTCCCTAGCGAGCGCCTGCCCTGCGCACAGAGCCCTCCTCTGCTGTCTGTCGGAACATGGAACGAAACCATCTTAAATGCCATTGCCCGAGCACATAAGATGGAATAAGATGGAATTAATCTGTAGATCGAAATGGAATATGTAGGGCTGTAATGTAATGTAAGACAGTACAAAACATAATCTAACATAAAACAGCACAAAGTGATGTGATGTAGTATACTGTAGTATAACATAGCAGCCAATATATACATAGCTGTATATATATATATATATATACACACACATCTACATATAAACATATATTTCACAATATACATATATACGTATATACATATATGGCGGCTGAGACTCTGCAAGGACACGGCTTTAAGGCTCGGGCTTGGAACCGAAAGAATAATACCTTTAGCCACATACTTGAAGAGTATGTTTTGCAGGATCAGATACTCACACCGGACTACTTACTTACAGAATCCCCTGACTACCGAAAGCCAACCCTAAATCCCGCAGCTCTAAGGCGTAGCTCAGACTTACTCAGGACTTAGGATGGTGTTTCCAGATGTGTCCGCACTAGATCAGATACGACATGCATGCACTATGGTCGACCCTTGGTACCAAGAACTCATCTTCGCGAGAAAGCACCCCAGGAGGAATCCAAACAAACTAACGACACCTATAACCCTTTGCCAAAAAAATTCAGAAATCTGCAGAAACCCTAAGCAAACCCCTGCAGTGCCCAAGGAATGTACGAATAAACCTTAAACTCCGAAACCGCGGGAACCCGAACCCGTAAACCCAAAACAACCTTAAACTCCAAAAGCGACTTAGAGGAGGAGCTCGAGCTCCGTTCGGCGGTAGCAGTGCTCAGAATCATCTTCCAGCTTCGGGTAGGAGGGGATGAGGGCGTCCTGGGGCAGGCATTCAGACCAACCCTGACACTGTGAAGTGATCTTAAACCTACTATTTGCTTAAGAACCCCCCAAAAAAATAAAAAATATATTCCTTATAGGGATAATATAGGGATTATCAGTTTTTATTTTTTGGGTGGTTCTTAAGCAAATAGTAGAAACTGATGACATTTTTGATGTTGGGCGCATGCGACAACAGCAATGTTAACGATGATTTACTGATGGACTTGTTCTATCTTGCATGGCATGACTGATGATGAAGGGCAGCGTAGTACACCGATCTCAGAATAAATGGACACTCCCTTCTAGCGCCGCAGTCCTACATCCTTCCCCCAACCCGTTCGGCACGCCTGAGATCCGATGTAAAGGTTGTTGTACAGCCGCCAATAGACCGCCTGGGCCGCCCAGAAACTTTGCAAACCCTGAACCCTATCCTACCTGTCGGGTATCAGGGGGAACTCAAGGTTAACCTTTCTGGTTATATGGGGATTATATAGGGTCTATATTACCCAAAAACAAAAATGTTAAAGGTTGCCTACTCTACTGCTAGGCTATAAACCCTGGTGGTCAAGCCCGGAGCTTGGAGGCTTGTGGACGAATGGGAGAGAAACCTGGGAAATAAGGGAGCCTTAACCCCATGCACACGTTTGCATGTGCATAAGTTGTAAGTTTGTGTTTGTCTATATAAATAAATGACGATATACAGATGTATATTGAGATGTATCTATTTCTGCTTATTGTGTAAATAGACACACCCGCGCACACAACATACATACAGTGCATGCACATTGCTACTAATTTCATACATAGAAAGTAAGAAGGAGAGAACGCAAGAGAGAGAGCGAGAGAGCGCCCGAGAGAGCAGAGAGACAGAGAGACAGAGGGAGAGAGAGACACAAAGAGAGAGAGAGAGCGAGAGAGAGAGAGAGAGAGAGAGAGAGAGAGAGAGAGAGAAAGAGAGAGAGAGAGGGATGCCAGCATCAAGCCCAAAACCCTGAAGTTCTCCCCCGTCTGGGCATTCTGCCTAGGAGACAAGATAATGGGTCAGTAAATTTCTTAAAGAGTTATAAGTACGATAACCCCAACTAGCGCTTACTATAACTATCACTCCATAAACAAATGTCCACTTACCAAGTCCCCCCCCCCCTTGCCGCCCCGCTTAGCAGCATATCTATATTCGAAGGCTGCGGAATATCAGGAGGGTGAACCCTCCGACATGACCCTTTCAGAAGTTTAGGAGTTGGGCCGGGTTGGGGTAGACGGAAGTTTAGGGGCTTCTTGTTTGGGGAGTTTAAGGGGTTAGTTAGGGTTGGTTTAGTTAGGGAAGATAAAGGGTTTAAGGCTCGAGGTCGACATGTGCAGAGGTGTCGGCTTCGGAACTACCCAGACCTTCCAAAGTCCCTTAATTAAGGAATATACCTTAAATCATATTAGGGGTTCTATTATAATTTAAGGTATATTCCTTAGTTAAGGGATTTTGGAAGGTCTGGGTAGGGTCCCCAGGCCTGGTCCTAAGAGTCAGAATATGTTGTATTATGCTACATTATATACGGTTAGTTATCAATATGCTCTCTCTCTCTCTCTCTCTCTCTCTCTATATATATATATATCAGATTATAAAACATTACAATATTAATGACACAGACCCCTGAGCTTTAAGAAAGGCTGATCGTACGGGTGAAGAGCTGAATCCACCTCCTTTTCTCTTCTGCGCGTATCCAGCTTCATGCCCAAAAGTAGCCAGTTGCCTTCAGAGCCCAGCTCTGGAATCCTTAACTTTCAACCCCCAGACCTTCCAAAATCTCTTAAGGAAAATAGACCTTAAATTATAAGATGGTCCCTAATATGATTTAAGGTATACTTCTTCCTTAATTCAGGGACTTTGGGCCTTCTCCGACTCCAAGCCTAAAATCCAGCTCCACACCCCGAAACTCACTCTGAGCAATATCTTAGGCGACCTGAAGGCAAGTGGAAAACAGGGCGTCGCAGGATGTCTACGCGACGGCTTGGACGCACGAAGGGGCATCGGGGGCTGTTCCACCTCAAGGTCTCTCTTAAACCCTACCTAAAGTCTCAATTGTAGTTCCTTTTTGGGGTTACATTTTAGGATCCCTAATATAAAATTGGTTAAACCAAAAAAAGGAACTACAATGGAGACTATAGGTAAACGCCAGCTAAACCCTCGGCCATGAACCATAAACCCCTAAATCCCTAAGATGTTGAGGATCCACAATCTAGCATCAGTGTTAAACTTCTAGAGTTCTCCTGCTGTCGACCAGCCCCCAATAAGAGAGGCCAGCAAGCAGGCCAGAGGCCGAAAAAGACTTGCAGAGGAGGAAGAATAAGACACGATGGTTCAGGGGAGTTTAGGGTTTAGACACGATGGTTTAGAGATGCCTAGGGTTTAGGGCTTAGACACGATGATTAGGGAACCTTAGGGGTTAGATTGCCGGGACCGTAGTTCAAGGACACACAAACTACTGATGGATAGGTACCTTTATACGACCTTCGGCGTTAAGAGAAATCAAGAGTATCCAAGTGTCACTTCGTTGCTTCTGATATGTACAAGCGACACATGTTTGGAACATGATAAGTAAGCAAAAAATATAAGTAGATATATATATATATATATATATATATATATATATATATATATATATGCAGATCAATTGGAAGAGCATTTGGTCATGCCAAGGAGTTGTAACAGGGTTCGACAAGGACTACTAGTACTGAGACTGTTGCTCATTGTTGAGGCAGCTGAGGCAGCATTCTACCATCAACCCAAAATAATCCCAATTAGGGTCCCTATTCTTTTGCTGCACTGTTTTTCTAAGGCCGCGACCTGTCGACGATGCTAAGGTAAAGCCCGATTCGGCGAATTACCGGAAAGGATAATCATTGATAGCACGGAATCTTGCGGAACTGCGCAAGGTCAGGCACCCACTTGGCGAACCGTCAGGAGTAAATTGCTTGCAGAACAAGCCAGCTTGTGGTCCCTATTCAGGTACCTCTAAGTCCATATGGCCCTAAACTTCTAGTTCGGAACTCAGGCTTCAAGGGGGTAGTTGTCAAAATTATGGTTCCTTTTTGGGGTACCCTAAATATTAGGTGCCGTACTCTATTATGGACCCAAAAAGGGACCATAATTTTGACAAAATCCTATACCCTTATAGAATCCCTATAGATCCCTTTAAAGGGACCCAAAAAGGGACCCTATTTTTGACAACCACCGAGGGGTATCTGGGGTTTGAGGATTTGGGAAATCTCGGCGCTCGGAGGCTTCGGGCTTTCGAGTAAGCTGGGTTCAGTGCAGAGTTTAGGGTTTAGGGGTTTAGGGGTTTAGGGATTAGGGATTAGGGGTTTAGGGGTTTAGGGGTTTAGGGGTATAGGGATTAGGGATTAGGGTTTAGGGATTAGGATTTAGAGATTAGGGTTTAGGGTCAGTGCAGAGTTTTAGGAGTTGAGTGCTGAGGGTTTTGAGGCGTGGGCGCGGGGGACCTAGAATTCCGAGGTAACCGGATGATGAAGGCGATGAGGACCATGCTGAAAAGTCTGCCCTGCATCGTCTTAAGAAGCTGAATAGCAATGCTACGACAAGAACAGTGACAAGAGTGATAATGCCGTACTGCTACTCAATCAAAAAACTGGCTCAGAGAGAGAGAGAGAGAGAGAGAGAGAGAGAGAAAGAGATAGAAACACGTCAAGAGGCTGCACCCCAGAATATCGACATGGTTTGAATCCCCACACCCTTGGTTGCAAATGGAAGTGCTCCCCTTCCTCCCTGCACGATTGCTGAGACACAATGCCCGCAACAAAAAGTCCACTTCAGGAACCTGGTAGCGGGAAAATGGTGCCAAAACGTAGCGCTCTTTCCGGGATCAACCGACAAACCATACGGTTCTCACCGGCCTGCTAGCCGTATCTGTCTCTTACAGGCTTATTACAGAAAGAGCACTAAGGTCCAAAACCTGGGTAGGACTCATAGGCAAAGCTCGTGTCACTGCCGCCACGCCAAGATGCTGTATGACGGACTCTCTTCTCTAACTTCCTTGCCTTGCAAGGGCTTTGATAATGGTACATTCTCGTATGACTTAGACGGCATGATAAGTGGATTTGTTGCTGCTATAGTTCAGGCCACTTTACTGGCTTCATGCCTCTTGGCGTCGCTACCCAGCCCAAAACTTGCGGCCTTCAGCGTGTGCTCACTGGCGAATTCATGCACAGAGGGAGCCGGCCACCCTGCCAAAATCATCGATGAATGCTGCTAGGTCTTAGGTTTCACGTATGATTCGAGCACATGTTGTCTGTTCCGTTGCAAGCTTGCTTGCTTTGCGCTTACACGGAACAAACTTTGAAGTCGCTTACAGCGTCAGTTGCAGTAAACACGGTCGTATGGACATCTTGATGTTCATGATTACAGTAGAAGCCAGAAAGTTGGAATATGATTATCGTAACCCCTTTAAGGTAAATTATAGGGTATCCTACCATGAAACCATATTCCAACTTTCTGGAGTTCCCTGTAACTCGGAATCCGAAGACCCTAAAAATCAAAAGCCCTATATAAATCGTGATTCCTAAACCCTTTGACCCAGATCCTGAACCTATAGTATATAGGCAGCAAGCCTCCGTCCTAAGACCAACGGAATCCTTCCTAAAGGATCGAGGAAATTGCCATGTAGGATTATGAGACAGAAAACAACATGGAATTCCTGTAACACCATAGGACTCCAATTGAGGTACTTGAAACTTTGCTTACAAAGTCCCTTGATCCTCCATCTAGCAAGATGTTCTTGAATTATTGTAACTCCAATTAACGTACTTCTAACCTTACTTACCAAGTCCCCTCATACCAAGTCCCCTGATCCTTGATCCCCGAACCCTAAAACGCCCAGACCTCCAATCATACACCCGAAGCCCATGAATAAATCCTAAGTCCCTGATGCCACTGAGTCCTCCACTCACCACTGGACTTTCGCGCGGAATGCTTTGCAGGCCGCTGGAGACATTCCCAGCTTCCTAGGGCTTCCAGCTTCAGGGGGCATCTCGCTTTGGCAGGCCTTAATTCTAAACGCCGCCAAACCGAACTAAAACCCAACCAATTCGCAATTTCACTTTCTCCTAGATGTTCAAAAGGTCATGGCAGCGAAGACCTGTAAGTCCGGACTCGCAGAAAACAAAATAGTCTGGAATGTTTAAGACTGAACAAGCATAACTCAATACTACTTGGAGGTTCATGGGTAGTTATAAGTAGGGTTATAAGTAGGATAGCTGGAGTTATAACTCATAGTAGGACTTATAACCCACTTATAACTAGCCAGGAACCTCCGAGTAGTAGTACTACTACGACCACTTAACACTGAACCAGCATAACTCAATACTAGTTGTGCTACCACGACCATTCTTCTGCTGCTACTACTACTACTGCTGCTGCTGCTACTACTACTACTACTACTACTACCCGTTTTGCGTGTATTTGACGCCATGCTTTTCCTGCTTTTGGGACATCTGCGACTTGGTTTCAGGGCCTAGATATACTGGTATTTACAGCATTTCCGTGGTTATTCGTTTTTATCTCTTTAAAGAAGGACCATGCAGACCCGAGCGCCAGAACGACCTAAAATACAGTCATCATCATCATCATACTCATCAACATCATCTTACTCATCAACATCATCATTGACCTGGGGGGGGGGGTGGGGGGGGGCTAATCGCGAGCATGTTTGACATCATCATCATAACAGTAACATTCAAAACCGTCAAATTCATTGTCGCCATCAACATCATCATCACGGTGATAGACAATATCATCATACTCATCCGATAAAACCCACGATCCAGGGCGCTCGGCTCACAACGACATGCGCATGCGGAAATGACGTCCCTGCCGTGTGTTTCGGACATGCATGCACCAAAAAACACAGCGTCAAATACACGCAAAGCGCGTACTACTACTGCTACTGCTACTGCTACTGCTACTGCTACTGCTACTGCTACTGCTACTGCTGCTACTACTACTACTACTACTACTACTACTGCTACTGCTACTGCTACTGCTACTGCTACTACTGCTACTATCCTACTACTATCCGACTACTATCCGACTACTATCCTACTACTACCCGACTACTACTACTACTACTACTACTACTACTACTACTACTACTACTACTACTACTACTACTACTACTACTACTACTACTACTACTACTACTACTACTACTACTCTCCTACTACTACTACTACTACTACTACTACTACTACTACTACTACTACTACTACTACTACTACTACTACTACCACTACTACTACTACCACCACCACTCCTACTGCTACTGCTACGACATCCAGTGTTGCTGCTGTTGTGGCGGTGGTTGTTGTGTTTCTTCTGGTTGTTGCGGGTCCTGAGCTGTAAATCATCCATCATACCTGCACTTTCAGACCCCAAGCTGCTGGTAAGAGGATCGGGTTTAATATGAGGTGTTGTGTTTAGGATTCTATGCCCCCCTTAGAATCATGCTAACAAATATTTTCAATATTCTCTTGGGTTTTAAATGAACAAAATTAAAACAAAAACAATTCCTAAGGAGACTTTGGGATTTGGCTATTGAAATGAAAGTTGAAGCGCCTAGAGCTCCTTAAAAATTCCCACGTGCCCCAAAGCCGACCCTTGTCCGAAAACCGGGGTCCCGACTGTGCAACATACAACAAAAGCCCGATCCAAGAAGCATGTCGACAATCCATCCGAACTCACAAGAAAACCCTCCTAATGTCCTAAACTCATCTGAGGAACACTAGACCCTAAACCCCAAAACCTAAAACCCCCCAATGCCGAACCCCCAAACCCCTAAATTTCAACCCCAAACTCCCTAAACCCCTAAGCCCTCAAAACCCTGAAACCCTTGAAACCCTCTAAATCCTAAACCCCTAAGCCCTAAACCCCCAAGACCCCTAAAACCCCTAAAACCCCTAAACCCTGAACCCCCCTACAACCCCCCCAAAAAAAACCCTAAACCCATCTGAGGGCCGCGCCCGTTCACCGCGTCGAAGAGCTCGGCGACTTCGGGATCGCTCAGGAACTTTCCACACTCGGAGATCATGGAGAGCACTCCCTGCTTGCCTGAGTTGAGGGTTAGGAGTTTAGGAGTAACTACACTAGTCCTACTTCTAGATCATGGAGAGCACTCCCTCCTTGCCTGCTTTTCTTTGTGCGCTCTTTTCCGTCTGCGGCAAGGGTTTAGAGTTTAGAGGTTGAAAGGGTTTAGGAGCTTAGGAGTTTCGGGGTTTAGGGTTTATAAGTCCCTTGATATAAGCCGGAGCCATAGTAATCCTCCTCCTTGCCTGGACAGTTTATAGTAAACCCCAAAGTGTTGGAAACCGGATTACGGACAATTGGTGCTGGGATTCCCTTTTCATGACTCTTGAGGATTGAGACTATTGGGTTTCCAAATTCTGGGCTTCTACTGTAGGATTTAGGGGCGCCTCCTTGCCTAGGTTGGAGGTTCATGGGTAGTTACAGGTAGGGTTTATAAGTCCCCTAATCTAGGCTATACGTATAGTTATCCTACTTCTAAACCCTGCTTGCCTTTGTTGAAGGCTCAGCGTTGGAGGGTTTGGAGGTTTAGGGTTTGGGGTTTAGGGGTTTTTAGCCCTTCAAGAAGAAGCAGCAGCAACAGCAACAGCAGCAGCAACAGGAGCAGGTGTAGCCGTGGTTGCCTGGTCGTCGTCGTGGTTTTGGTGGGTTCAGAAATCAATTAGGAGCGGTTAACGCAGTGGGCATGCTACGTTAGGTGTATACATCTCTATTGCCAAAGCTACTATAACTACCTGCTTGTCGGGTATCCTGGGGAACTAAAGGTTAACCTTTTCGGGTATAGAGGGATGATATAGGGACTATACTACAGAAAAAAGTTAAAGGTTACCTACTCGACTACTGGGACTATCTATCAGCCAGCAGGTACGCTGAATTAGGGTCAAGGCGACCTGTACATTCATGTACACTAATTAGCGTCACTAGATGGTCAGCAGCCAGATACGTGACATTGGTACACAGGGAACAATGAAAACTCTACACAGAAACGGCCCCGGATTTCATAAGACAATCTTGCGCGAAGACTTTGTGATGCTTGCTGGAATGGCTAGTCCTTGTAAAGGGCTCTGGACTGTTTGACCAGAGCCTCAACCCAGAGAGCCCAATACCCCTTAATTAAGGAATATGGCTTAACAAATATAGGGCTTCAAATTAAGATTTAAGCTATATTCCTTATTAATTGGGCTCTTTGGGAACCCCAAACCTTGAATCTAAAAGTGCAGCTTCGGTGCTGCCCTCGAAGCCAAAGCACGGCGCCAATTGCTCCTGGATGGCGAACGCGAGCTCATTCCGCCCAGGGAGCTGGAGATAGCCCGTACACTCTGCTGCACCAGACTTCTTCCTTCACTGTCATTGTAGTGAGGGTTTATGGTTTAGGGTTTAGGGTTTAGGGCAAAATAGGACTGGAACAGCCCTGCAAAGGGCAGATTGCACTACTTACCACTTGATGCGCAGGTGCTTCAAGAAAACAATAATCAGGTACGAGGACAAAGGAGCTACTTGGACCCTAGCCTTCTGGCCCTTACAAGAACATCCTATGAAACCCTATAGAAACCTTTCAGAGCCCTTTGCAGCACTGCACAAGCCTGATAACAGAACCTTCAGTGGCTCCTGCAAAAAAAAGATGCAGGAGGACGAGTATAGGAGCCTTCATTGTAATTACTATACGACTGTTTCAATTTATGTATGGGGTTTTCTGGGTGTCATAGTGGTTTGTACGGGGGAGTCAGCTATCGCTCAGAATATGGGCTGGAGGCTCTATACTACAACTATATGATAGGGAACGCTACGGAATTCTATTGCTCACTTAATCAGGCCCTTTGCTACCTCTCTTAAATGCCCAGCGTCTTCTCAGCCTCCACTAGCTTCTTCAACTCCTCCTGAAAGTTTGGCTCACTGAAGCTGACCTGAAGGCTCTTGAGAAGGCGGATGACATCTCGCTTGCCAAGGGCCTTCTTCTCGTGGCCAAGCGGTATGGCCGCGTGCTCCTTCCCGGTCTCTGGTACCTCACAAGCTGATAGATGCTCATGGATGATCTTCTGGTTCACAGCCACATCCGGATCATCTCGAAAATCCTCCAGGGACGAGAGCATCTGGTCGACACCTCTGTCTGAGGCAGGAAAGCCGTGCCGGGGAATAATGGTTCGCTGCGCATCCCGCACGAGGGTCAGTCGCGCCTTCCGGTACTCCTCGAGCTTGCCAGCAGCATGCAAGCTGGACGCTTGACGCAGCTTTTTCTGGAAGGCGGGCGACGAGAATTCCTGCGTCAGGCTGTTGATATGATGAGATGGAACACTACGCTTGCAAGTCTTACCTTCTTGCCGTTGTGCTCTGGGGCAAAGGTCTTCGACGCAACATAAGGAATACAAGCTCAGTCAGTCGAGCTCGAGCAGAACGCGCAAGCTTAACAGTTTGGGGCTTTGGGGGAATATAGGGGCCTCAATAATTAAAATGAGGTTCTGGGATCTATTATGCTATACATACAATAAGGAGCCCCCTAAATAGTAGAGATAACTGTTAAGGCCGCTATGTAAATAGGTAATTATTAGCCGCCTATAATCGCAAGCCTGTATCAAGTCGTTCTGCAACTCCAGGACCTCGTCTGTCGCGAGCTTCCTCGTGGGAGATGACGAGCAGGAGCTTTGTGGCGAACCGGATGGGGCATCACCTCAGATCGCCGGTAACCTAAGACTAATAAGGGTCTAAGGGCTCCCGTTTTTGTTCTGGTATTGGCTAGTTTTATAAGGAACCCAACACTACAAAAGGGAAAAAGGGCCCACTGGGTGACCTAGTCACTGGCTCGTGTGCTGGGCGTGGTGTCGCCGCTGTAGCCACTGCCCTTCACCTTGCTGGACCAGCTTCCCGGATGGATACTATAGGGGCCTTAACGTAATAATTAGCATAGGGTTTCGGGGCCCATAATGCTATAATGATGATTAGGATTAGGTAATTATGAGAATTCAGGCCCCTATATTGAACGTGAAGCTGTGGAACTAGCTTACACCCTGATCCGTTAAAACCTGCAGACAGAATGATCTGTGGATGCATGTGCATATATGTACATATACACGTATCCATCGCATATATATATATATATATATACATATACATATACATATACATATACATATACATATACATATATATGTATACATGCAAAGAGAGCGAGAGAGAGAGAGAGAGAGAGAGAGAGAGATTGTCTAGTTATTGAAGGGTAATCGTCAGGCAAGTAAAAGTTATTAATTCAATATTGACGGAAACGAAAGACTATGCCCAAAGTCGTGCGAAGTCACGGCCGGCATCTTCCAGGACAGGAGGCGGGAAGGCTGGGGCAGAGTGGTGCTGCAAAATGCTGCGAGTGAAAAGTCGTGCATGCTACCCTTTAGGGTTTAGGTTTTAGGGTTTAGGGGCTCCAAAGCTATGATGAAGGCAGGTGGGGTAATCCAAACATAGGAGTCCTGAAAAAAGGGGGTCCTTCATCCTATCTGCCTTCATCCCACCTCTGGGAGGCCCCCCCATTGATGTTGAGGGGAAGGGGCTTCGAGGATTTCAAGGTACAAGGTTCAAACTTCATGGGTTGAGGGATGCAGGGTGCAAGGATCGGGACGCAGGATTTCAAAAAGCAGACCCTGCGTGCTACCTAGCGTGACAAATTGCAGGGTGGACTGCGAAGCAGAAAGCCCTAAGCCCCAAACCCCAGAAAAATGAAGTCCAAAACCCTGAACACCAGGCAGAAGAACCAGAACGCTGCAACCACTCATGTTAGCCCTGCAATTTTTACTAGGTTTACATTTTTGCACATTGGAGTTTTACGAAATACCGCGAAAAAAACCATTCAAACCCTCATAATGCTGGTGGGCCCTTGCAAAACCCTTCAAACCGACCTCAAAACACCCTCCAGGGTCGAGAGAGAGAAAACCGCAAAACACCCAACTAAAACCCTTGAGAGCCTATGAAGCCCTTCTAAAACCCGAATACCACATTATGAGACCCTCTGAAGAGCTTAGAAAGCCCTGATGAAGCCTCACAAACCTTAGTAAGCCTTGTACACCTGCAAAACCTTGATAGAATCTACACAAAACCTTCGTAAAGCCGTCTAAAACCCTAACGAAATCTGAAAAGAAACATGAGACATCCATAAAACTCAACAAACCCTACAACATTTGTAAAGCCCGTATAAAACCCTAAACACCCTTAATAAACTGTTTCACCCTCATAAACACCCTCGAAGCCCTGCATGAAACCCTAGCTCCTTGCCCCCAAGAGCCAGACCCGGACACGTCTAGCTGGGTGCCACAAGCCTCCAAGGGTTTGGGGTTTCGGGCTTTGGGTTTGCAGTTTAGGGTTGTGGGTTTGGGGCTTAGGGGTTAGGGGTTCAGAGTTTAGGGCCTTAGGGTTTGGGGTTTAGAGTTGCTGCAAATGTAAGAGCGAATCTAAGTGTGGAGGGATTTCGCAGGCCCAGGATGCGTGACGAGGGCTGAGGATTCATCGCTCTACGGGTCTACTTCGATGATCCTTAGGCTTGGTAAGTTAGGAATGTTGGGAAGATGGGATGTGGAGACATTTATGGGAGATCCCAGGTCGATTTACTCGCTTGGAAGAGCTTGCAAATACTGTTCGTGATATAAATCCTGCATTTCCTTAATGATCCTAGACGATGGGCATTAAAGTATATTGGCCGCTCACGGAAACCTCGAGAGAGCCGACGCTAAAAACCCTCACAACACAACGATCCTAAACTCCCCTGATCCCCAAAATCTAGGCCCAATTAGCATAAATGCAGCATAGCACCGAAAACCCTGAACACGAAACCCCGACTACCCTTTCTAACTAGCCTGACTACCTTAATTAATTACCCCGAACCCCAGCTAACTACCCCAAACCCGAAATCCCTAAACCCGAAAGCCTTATAACACTGACCAGCCTAACTACCCTGACTGCCCCGAACTACCCTAAACCCTAAACCCTAACCCCTAAACCCTAAGAAAACCCGAACGGCCCTGCCTTGCAGCAGGTACTGAAGGACCTTTGTTGGGCCCAAAGAGATCCGGAAGCCGTCGATCGCATCGAAGACGGCCTTACAAAGAGCAGAGGGGGCGGGTGGGGGTTGTGGTTTAAGGTGATTCGGGGATTAAGGCTTCTGTAAAAGTCCTAGCAGGGTTGATTTGAGATTTCCGTTTCGGGTGGATGTTACGAGGGTCTAGGGGTTTTGGTTGTCAGCTTCGATCTCATCAAAGACCGTAATTGCGAGAGAGCAGCGGGGTTTGGGATGCCGTTCTAAGGATACCCTTACGGGCTCTTAACGAGCCCTGCTTCTCTCGGCCCGTGTGTAAGACACAGCCCGACGCTGCAGGTCCAACCCCTCTTCAAGACCCCAAACCATGCAACAGAGAGGCCTGAATGATTTTCCGAAATAGTTGTATGCCACACACAAAAGTTCAAGGAGCTCAGACAATAGCATGACTAGTTTGTACTTCAGGCCTCTTTTTATCAGTTGTCTTGTGAATCTCCAGCAGAGGTACTAAGGACGCTCAGGGGGTCCTGGCGTACCCTAAACCCTAAACTCCCTAAAAGCTTCAAAACCCCCAACCCTGGGACCGGCACCATGATCAAGTGCGGCGAGTTCTCGAAGACGTTCGGCCACACGTAGTTCATGAGGTGCTGAAGAGCATCCTGGTAGGAGAATAGACCTCGACTGTACTTATAGGACTCTAGCATACATATGTACATGTTGTCAACCCCAAACCCAAACCCCTGCAGCCTTGAACCCCATCTAGAAAGCCTCATCCACTCAAAACCAACAGATAGCCTGGCTTGTACCGATCCTTCTAGAAGCCATTGTAGACTCTTATAAAGCAAGAAGCCCTCACAGCATCCTCCCTCAGCCAGGAACTCTTTTCAACGCCACGTACCCCAAACCAAAACCCCAAAGCCACAAAAAAAACGCTAGATCATGCTAGATCCTTAGTCCCCTTTGACCCAAAGGTCCAAAGTACCTATATAGTAGAATGTGGGGTTTCTAAATTGGGAGTTAGTAGTGTGATTTGGGGAAGTATTCCCCATAACAGTACCTAGGACCCTTTGGGTGACTAAAATTTAAAACGCAAGCAAAACAAACAGTCCTCGCAGCCGAGGCCGTGAACTCCGAGCGCCAGATGCTTGCACGTCCATGCCGCCGTCTGCCTTTCTTCACGTGAACCCAGAGAGCCCAGTACCCCTTAATTAAGGAATATGGCTTAAATTATGGAGGGTTCCATATTACGAGTTAAGCTGTATTTCTTGATTAAGGGGTATTGGGCTCTCTGGGAAGGTTTAGAGCTTCCATGGGTTCCCCAGTGTCCCCTTCCTAAAAGTACCCTTTCCCGGTTATAAAAGTGCCCTTTCGCGGGTATCCAGTTTTAGTCAGGACAAGGGCATCAAGGGTACTACTGGGGGAGCCTGGTCTACAGAAGGTTCTATACGCTAAACCCTATGGGTTCCAGCGCATCGAATTCTAAGTTCTACTGTTTGTACAAAAGAGCACATCTGCGAGTAGCAGCATTACCCAAAGAGGGGCCGAGGAGCGCGTCAAGGGAGGCCTTACTCAGTTTTAGGGGCATAAAGAGACCGTAGCACCGATACTCTACACCCTATAAAACCTACACCTACCTAGACACCAGACTAAGTCCCTGCCCACAGGTTCCCTGCTAATGATGCAGGTTTATGAAAAAGTAGGGTTTTGGGGCTTCGGATAATCTAAATCATGCCCACACCTTAAGCCCTTATCCTTGTCCTCAACCCCTCAACCCGAAACCATAATTGGCCCTGAAACCGAGAGCCATATGCCGTAAACTGCATGTTATAATCGAGTATCAGCCATTGAATCAAGCGCAAATCCCTCCAACCCTAAACCCTCGAACCGGAAGGCAGGCCTGTGAACGAGATCTCGGTCCATAAGCGCATCCTCAAGGATCGGCGTCACCGCGTAGATGTAGTCCTGAAATGAAAAAGTTTAACAACATAATAACTTTGATATACTTATATTTTTTTTGACTATGGTGCCCTGGGACCCCCAAGACCCTTGGGTTAAGCATTAAACGCTTTTGATTATAGTCAGCATCCCGCGACACCTATAATAATATTCAGGATCCCTCTACAGTTATACAGGAGTATGAATATACCTGTAATAATGTCAGGACCCCCTCTACTTTAAGGTACATTGGAATTGGGGCTTGGGGCTGGGGGCTTAGCTGAGCGAGCGAAACCCTCGTAGCTAGGCTTTAAGCATGGCGGCGTGGAGATAAAGTTGGGGCAATATAGGGGCCTTAATGCTTAGAATAGGGGTGTTGAGGTATATTATACCATGATTCTCATAAGGAACCCCCACAACATTCCATGAAATTCTTTAGGCCCCTGTGCTAGATGTCTGCCCGGCCGGCACCCTCTTGTACGGATCGTTCGAGCTAGCTGCCCTTGCTGGAAACGCACTCATGCTTGGCGTTCGGGCTTGGGCTGTCCCCAGTTTTGCGTCCAGAGTATGGGGCAGTGTAGCAGAAGGGTGTGCGCGTCCTTGTGCTCAAGTGTTAAAGTGTACTATGATAAACATTCTTGTACTATGCTATACTATACTATAACACACTATATTATGCTGCACTACACTACGAAATACGATGGTATACGAATAATATGTGGCGCATGCATGGAGTTCCAGTACAAGTGGAGGCCAATTGGATGCAAGACTTGCTGAAATTGACATTGCGTTCGCTTTCGGTGTCCAAACTTTCCACGAACCCTCCTAACCACTTACATAAATGCAAGAGCTGCAAGAAACAAAACGCCTTGATTTCCGAATGCCGGACACCAGAGAGAACCATTTTTCACAGCTCAGAAGGCCTTGGCCATCTCGCCGATATACTCGAACATGAAGCTCAAGCTCTTCAAAACTCCATTCCTTCGTCGCTCGGCTTGTGGTGTTCTACATACTGACGCGGTGATATCATTGCCGAGGAATTCTGCTGCTGCTGCAGCTACTCTAGCACTGCTAGTCCTGGACTACTTGTGCGCGACTTACGGTTTCGGGGTTCAGGCTGCAAGGCTTCAAACCTCGGTTTCAGTGTAATACGGGGCCTGCTGAGAAGCCTCATCATTTCAGAAACACGTAGCCACATGGAATCAACATTAGTAGATAGGTTACCCCACAAGAACCATCAAACTGTAGGATCCTTCTAAATTCAAGCACCTCGATACCCTGATGTCTAGAACCGTTGAACAAGCATCTCAAACAAGCTCACCTTTGTAATTAGAAGGACCCTAATTACGGTACCACTCCCTGAAACCCTGATAAACAAATCTGAAACGATGTAAACAAGACCTCAACATGAGGATACCTGAACTCGCCATGCCAACTGTTGAAGAAGCCCCAATTTACTAACAATGCAAGATTGGAACAGAGACTCCACTGAAGCGTGCTCGGCTTAGGTTGGAGTTTGGGTTTCAGGGTTTGGGGCTTTGAGTTTCTGAGCCGAGGGGTGTGGGATTTGAGGCATTCAGGGTTTAAGGTGTCTTGTTGTAGGATGTAGGGCGTCCGCAGTAATTATCGGGTTTGCGCACAGCGTGACAGGCTGCCTTGGTGCCAGTGCGCCCAGGCTTCAGAGATCCAGATGTCTGCGACTACGAGACATGTCATGTACACCCCGGTAAATGTTCAGCCGGGAACCCCGAACCAAAAGGCTTCAAAAGGAGCGTTGGGCAAATCTTTCTAGTGCCTTCTGGATGCCGGTTGTGGCAAAGGCTACTGCTGCAGGGCATGCTTCGTCCGCCTCTAAACCCGAAACCTTGAACCCTAAAATCCTAAACCCCAAAATCCCAAACCCCATGGCCCTGAACCCTGAAACCCTATACCCTAAGCCCTAAACAAGAAAGAGCCTTGAGCTCCAGCTCTCCAGTCTTCAAGGCCCTGAATGTAATTGGAGGTTCATGTTGGGTACTGCCCCCATACAGTAACAGTCTATAATAGGGCTACTATTAGGGTCCTAAGATATCCATATTATGAAAATTATCCAACTGTTATTGAGTGGGGGCAGTACCCAAGGTTCACGGGTAGTGATCAGTAGGGTTCTAAGTAGGATAACTACACTTCTAGCCTATATTCGGGGACTTGTAGCTCCACTAACAACACAGCCCGAAACACAAATCATGCCCTTCGCAAAACCTAGTTGTCGGTGGGTGTATGGCTTGATATTCCCCAAAAGAAGCTCGAAACTCCCTACTGGGAGGTTCATGGGTAGTTATCAGTAGGGTTAAAAGTAGGATAACTATAGTTATAACCCTTATTAGGGGACTTATAACCCCAACCTCCAAGTAAAGCACACTCACCCAGTCTTCCTGAAGTGAATCAGGCCCGGGCCTCCCAAAAAAGGCACAACGACCCCACTTCACATCACCGGGACTGCTTACCCTGGCCCAAAGAAAGTTAACCCTTGAATTTTTGTAGGGCTATACATACCCAGAAAGGTTAAAGGTTAGATACACAGCCCCAAGATCCGCGAAGTTGTCCCCAGTTCTGGGTACCTAGAGACCCAAAACCGTATAAGTAAGGAATCTACCTGAAATGCTACTAGGAACCCCGGAACCCCTAATGGGATTCATGGCCTATTCCTCCATCAAGGGGTTCGGAACCCTCAAAGAACTCCCTGTAGCACCAGTGACCAAGGGGGTTTGGAGTCTCTGGGAGGTCGCCGAGGATCTGCACGTTCAGCTCTGGCACTCTATACTCGTTCATGAGAGCTGGCCTCAAGCAAGAGGTCAAGGGGATAGGGTTTAGGTACAGCGCTTACCGGAGCCTACCTTTTTGGGGCTCCTGATTATGATTCTCGTGCATGCAACAGTCCGTGGAAAGGTGCGTGTTTTGGGGATACTGCAAGGGAGGGCTTTGCAGCAGCTCGGGGTTGCGGAATCAGGCTACTTGTCAATCTTGCGGCAGCACGATAGTCACGATATCCGAAAGACTTGGCCCTGCAGCCTCGAGGGGCCTTTTAGGTCTTGCAATAGGGGCCTTACTAATTAGAACGGGGTTTTAGGGTCCACTATACTACACTTGTAATTAAGACCCGCAACCAAATAGTATAGGTAATTCTTGAGGCCCCCATATTCAGGGTTTGTTACTTATGAGGGTTTACGGGTTGAGGGCTCATCTTCTTCATCTTCATAGCATCCTCATCGGATTCGGCATCATTCTCACCATTACCATCATGGCGATCATGCTTCCAGTGTTCGATACACTTTTCGACAGCGGGCCCAGGCTACTCATGCCTTCGCAGTATCACATTCCGCATTAGCAGAGACTGTCCCAAGCTTCGCCTTTGAACCTTTAATGTCCAAAGAAACCACCTGCAACTAGATCCTAGTCCTATAATCCCAAGCCTCAAAGCCCCAAACTTAGACCGGCAGCACCCCTAACGAGGCCCAGGCAGGACAGTGAATGGGCCACATGTTTCGGCAACAATCGCAATTGCCACCTGTGCGAGGTGCCGTGGCTGAAATACGGCTGAAACAACATAAAAAGCTAAAGGCTTCTCTATACCCCCCCTACTTAGAACCATAACCAAAACAATGTGTTCAATATTCTCTTGGGTTTTGTCTGAACAAAAATAAAACATAATTCCCTGGAAGCGCAGGTTCCTTAGGGTCGGGCTCTAGGGTTCCATGAGGTTCAGAGCCCCGCAAAATCTCAAAGCCCACCTCCAGACTTTGACCCAACCAAACAAAGAGCTTCATCTCGAAACCCTAAACCCACAGTGTCGCATCTCAACTACCCCAACCCTGCCCTTAAACCCCTAATTGAACCCTAGGCCCTACACACTTTTGACCCCAAACCCTGAACCTTACAGATGATTTCATCCAAAAACCTCATGAGATCTTGGCTCATTGCTCGGGCCCGGACAGTCGTGCAAATACGCAGCTGACGCTCCTGGACCTTGAGGTTGTTGAGCAGGGTACTGAGAACCTTGGAGATAGCACGGAAGTGCATCACAGGTTCCAAGTGGATGGAGAGCGTTCTGGTTTGACGGGTTTGCGGGTGTGATTGGGATAAACCCTAAACCCTAAACCCTAAACCCTAAACCCTAAACCCTAAACCCTAAACCCTAAACCCTAAACCCTTCGGCGGGGCTTCTAAACCCGACAATCTCGAACCACTGATCCGAACTTGGACCCGACCTGAACCGTAAAACACGGGAATAAGGGCCTACTCCAGGTCCTAGAACCCTTATAGATCCCCTTTAAGGAACCCTGTAAGGATCCCTTTAAGGAACCATACTTACTAAGGGGTGGTCTAGTGAAACGGGAAAACCTACCAACTAAATCCTCAGCCCTACACCCTAAATCTTTAGCCTAATCCAACAGAAACGAAGCCGAACCCCTGAACCCTTGAAGCCCAAACTAAACCCTGGACACTAGACCCGCAACAAAAACAACACAAGCAAAATCGAAACTCTAACAGTGAAACCCTTAGGCCGGAGCATCATGGGGGCCGATAGCCTTGGCGATGTAGCCGAAGGTGTTGACCTGAATGAGAATACATATGCCATGTGTACACACATACATCTATGAATAGGTATACAGTTACACGTATTACGTGTATATATATATATATACACACACACCTTGAACGCTACTTGCATTTAGAGCTACAAGTCCATAACTTCTGGTTGTACTCGTGCTCACATTTGTCTGTGAACTTGCTTGTTGACGTTGTGTCTTTATTTTTGTGCACGAGTTGCTTGCTGACTTGCACATCCACACATTCGGCTCACTTTCACTTGATTAGCTTTGATTAGATTGTTCGTTTATACAGTTAAAATAGGCTTGCAGAACCATTGAATTTCTTGTTGGGGTCAGTACTCATCCATGTGCTTCATGTCGGTGTATGCAGCTGGGTAATTATTTGCTAAGGTTTATGCACACATAGTTACTCATGATATGAAGACACATGTGCATAGGATGCGACAATATCACAACATGTTTGCACACGCATGCATGAATGAATGTATGTATGGATAGCAGGTAGGTATGTATGTAGGTACTTAGTTACGTAGGTATGCAGGCATGTATGGTATGGTATGGTATGGTGCGGATGGTATGGTATGTTCTGGTACGGTACGGCACGGCAGGGTAAGGTAGGGTAGGGTACGGTTGGTGTGCATGGTATATGAGATTTTCTCTTGTCTGGTACGGTACGGCAGGGTCCAGAACGGTACGGAAGGGTACGGCATGATCCGGTGTGGTATGTATATGCGCATTTGTTTTGCAAGTCTTTTCATGTCATTGAGGCATGCTGCTGGTATGCCTGGTTGGAACATATGAGTGCATGTTTTTTTTATGAAAAAAACAGCAAAGCTTTTGCGCATTCGATGACTGAACAAGGTGTGCTAAAGCTTCTGGAAACAGTGAAGCTGACGAACTACCGTGCGAATACAGAACAAACCTACATGTGCAAGGAGCCATCGCCAAAGAAAACCAATGCATGGCAAAACGAATAACAATCTCAAGCTTTTCAACAGCGCATTCGTTGGACCATACCTACCTATAGTCTCCATTGTATTTCCTTTTTTTTGGTTAACCAGTTTTATGGTTAGGACCCTGTAATAGAGATTTTGGTTAACCCAAAAAAGGAACTACAATGGAGACGATAGGTACTCCACGGCAAAAACACTTACAGGGAACTCCAGAAAGTTGGAATATGGCTTCATGGTAGGATACCCTATAATTTACCATAGAAGGGTTAGGAAAATCATAGTCCAACTTTCTGGCTTTTGCCCTAAACCCTAAACCCTAAACAACCCTTAAATTAAAACCCTAAAACCCTAAAACCCTAAAACCCTAAACCCTAACATATTCCAACTTTCTGGCTTTTGCCTTGCTTGATTCTGGAGCCGGGCAGACCCAGTGTCTGGAGCTTGAGACTGTGAGCTCCTGACTCCTGATCTCCATAAGGCTCCATGTACCCATATGGGAGTTTCCGAAAAGTAGGGGTACCTTATTTTGGGGTCCTTATGATAAGGATCCTACTATTTAGGGTACTATATTAGGGTCCCCTATTTTCGGAAACTCCCATATAGTATATACTTAGGCCTTGAGGTACTGTTGATGGACAAAATCCTGCATGACCCTGAGGACTCTAAACTATGGGAACTATGGTATATTCCTTGTAATGGGTAATGCAGGATTTTGTCCATCAGCAGTATCTATATGGGGACGCCTTTAAGGCCTAAGTATCTACTATTACGGTATATGGAGCCTTTAGGTCACCCACATGCATAGCCGTCAAGCAGCTTATCCCTGAACCCTAAACTCCTAAACCCTGAACTCTTAGGCTTCACAGACACAACTGTCTCCGCCTGTTCTGTTCTCGTTCGCCAGCTGTCCAACCCGTAGCCAAGCCCCAATGAGCATTGTACTAAGATCCGGACACTTCAACCACCACAACAAAGGAGAACGACACCAAGAACAGCAACACACGGGAAGTCGCCAGCGTAGCACTACGTCATTCCGCGCTTAACTAAACCGTAAATGCTAAAGCCCTATAATATCCTATCATCCAAACGAACACTTCACCTCACCTCCGAACATCCTAAACCTCAAAGGTCCGGGGCTTCCCACCGTGGCTCGCCGGATCGCCTTCTTGTGGGCCTGTGCTGCTGCTGATAACCCAAAGGGTTTAGGGTTCAGGGCTTTAATATAGGTTTAGAGCTTGGGGTTTCAGGGTTTAGGGTCTTGGGTTGATTTACAGTGGACCCAAGAAAGTTGGAACATGGTTTTTGGAGGATTTCTGCTGGGATCTCTTATACTTTACCTTTGGGGCATGAGGATAATGATGTTCCAACTTTCTGGCTTCTACTGTAGGGTTTAGGGGTGTAGGGTTTAGGGCACGTCCTACATCATCTTCTGACTTGCAGAGCTCAGAAGTTCAGAAGCCCAGAAAAGTTGAAACTTTCAGTGTTTAAGAGGGATCTTATATCACAAATGCTTGAAGCTTATAAACTCAGCTACATCATCTTGATAGCATCTCGAGATATACGGTTCAATTTCTAAGGGTTTACCTCACTGTCTCTACCAAGCAGTAGACCATCAGTCCCATAGTTGGGGTACCAGAGTTGAGTGCCTCGAGACCTAGTGCCCTGAATTTGGGTGAATTGTAGCTGATTGTACTAATACTGATAATACGGCTCCATGTACCCATATAGTATATACTTAGGCCTTAAGGTATCTATATGGGGACCCCTTTAAGGCCTAAGTACTACTATAACTATAACGGTACATCGAGAACTGTTGCTCCAGCAGAAAGTCGTAAAGTCGGAGAATCGGTACGCACCGATTCACCCACAATACCAAGCAGACTGAGCCCCTGAAGCCGAACGTGTAAGAACCTTCAGCTACTACTATTTGCTTAAGAACCCCCAAAAAATAAAAAATATATTCCTTATAAGGGTATTATAGGGATTATTATTTTTATTTTTTGGGGGTTTCTTAAGCAAATAGTAGGCTACATTCAGATATTACAACATGCAGGATGTGTTAGGTACTGCCCCCTTACGGTAAGAGTCTACAGGAGGGCTACTATTAAGGTCCTGGTATGTCCATATTATGAAGATTATTCAACTATTACTGGGTGGGGGCCGTACCCAAAGGATGTGGTTAATCCAACACCCGAAGATCCTACCAACAGACGGTCCTCAACAGCAACAAATGAGAACAACAACTCAACTCCGAAACTCAATATGCTCGAACCCCAGAACCCTCACCCCCTCAACCGTCTTCAACCGCTAAAAAGCCTAGATGCCGATAATCTCCGAAAACCCCCAACACCCAAGCCCTAAACGCTAAACCCCTGACCCCTACAGTAAGGCCTTTAGCAGCTCAAGGAGGTCGAAGCAGATACGGTTCCACTCGCGTGGGGGCGCCAACTCCGCACCGCGGTCCGCAATTCTGCAAAGGTGGGGCTAAACTGAACGTAGACCCCTAGCAAAATTTGTAGTTTCAGCTGTTTCTTAGGGATTGAAGGAACTAAGGGAGAGGGTCAGAATTCAGGGCTTCCGGTGTGTGTTTTTCGAGGCGGAATAACTATTCGGACAACCACATTGACCGACGCCCCCAATCCGTCACCCTGAGCCGGCTTTGTCTCGCTGCTCCCTATCTATAATGGGGCAGGAAAGCAGCTTTCACCAAAGCCGCCATAATTCTCTTAACCCATAAACCCAAAACCTCGCACTAGGCGGTCGATGCTTTAGGGACAAGCGCCCAAATACTTGCCAAGACTAGTTTGGGGTTCCTCATTATATATTCATAGTATAATCTACCTGTAGTCTCCATTGTAGTTCCTTTTTGGGGTTACCTTTTGGGATCCTTAATATATAATTGGTTAAACCAAAAAAAGGAACTACAATAGAGACTATAGGTACCCCGAAACCCTATTTAGGGTTTATAGGGCCCACGTCTGGTGAGCTTCGACTTCCTGAGGGTTTGAGGGTCTGGGTCTTGGCTTCCGGAGCTTGAGGCGTGCTGCTGCTTAGCACCTCAACTTTAATGCTCTACTCATGTCACAAGCTCCTGTAACTTGGGTACGGCCCCCATACAGTAACAGTCTATAATAGGCTACTATTAAGGGCCTTATATATCTATACACTTACACGAAACTCCAGAAAGTTGGAATATGGTTTCAGGGTAGGATACCTTATAATTTACCAGAAAGGGCTTCGGAGAATCATATTCCAACTTTCTGGCTTACTTTAGTGCTACTCAAACCGAAAAAGGCGAACGTTTGCTGCTTCAACACGAAGCTGCCTTCAGGCTTACTTGGAGGTTCGTGGGTGTCGATAAGTAGGATTCCAGGTAGCATAACTCTGCTTGTAACCGATATTTGAGGACGTATACCTCCACCTATAATTATAACTAACCATGAACCTCCAAGTAGGGTTCGGTTTTCGGGTTTCGTGTGTAGGTTAGCTCCCAAACTGAAAAGTCCCGACCCCTTCTCCCAAGCAAGGTGGCTCCTGCCAACAAGATCGATGCAATTCTCCTGCCGGGTCAGGGCGGATCAAAGTTTAGGGTGCAGCGTGACAAGTTTCAGGTTCAGGGCTGTTGCCTTTTAGAGACTCAAAACAGAAGGGGGTTTTGTGAGTAGGGTCGAAGCTGTACTTGGAATCACGTATCATAATTTAAGCTTACCTACTAAGCCCCTTGATCATCCAAGTGTGGCTTCGCATGTCAGTACGCCGAATGCCAAAAAAGGCATTCGCAATACATGTCTGTTCATACACAAACGTAGTTCTGCTCATGGTCAAATGTAAATGCATTTTCCTTGCTGGGTTAAAGTACCCCTAAAAGTGTAAAATGTTAACCAATGTTACACAGATACTAGTATGACAGAGAAACAGCCAGTACACCAATTATTCGCACTGCAGATGTATTGGCGAGTCTATCATGCCTAAATTCCCGCCCGTCTCTTGTTTTATGGTGTACATCCAGCAGTAAATGAGGACGGAGAAACATGCGAAGGTAAATCTACCGATATAGCTTGAGGGTTTAGGGTACTGTCACTAACCAACCTTCCGCCACCTCTTGGGCTTAGAATTCGGATCGGGTTGAAACAGCGCAAGCAAGCTGAAGTTTGGGGCTGGTTCCACAATCCCAGTAGCTGTGTGCAATATGGGGCTTTGCTTGTGCTTACAGCTACCAAAGAAACTTCCTGAATGGTCAAAGTCATTAGAAACCTCTTAAATGCACGCTCTCCCATATGCTTCCTGTAAGTATACAGGGACATGTGGGCCACAGGCACTATGACATCGTTTGGGGACTTTGAAGCCCCCCTGCACAAAACCAGAATTCTAAACAATGCATCATGAACCAAAGGCCAAGAAAAGAAACATAAAGGCCCACATCCCAATTATTGTTTGCAGTTTAAGTGCTTGACTGCTTTAGGCTTCAAGTTCTGCATCCGAAACCTCCACATGCACAACTCTGAAGCCCTTCGCAATAAAGCCTTAACAACAGGTACAAAGCCCAACACACCTGAACTCGCAAGCCCTGTGAGGCCCATCCAAAAGTCTTCAGAACCCTGCAGGTAAGGGCTTCTTCAAGTTACTATTCTAACTATGAAGGCCCCTACATTATAGTACCCTTCTAGATACCTTGTAGTAACCCTTAGAACCCCTGTAAAGGAACCCCTAACTATTCTAATTACAAGGCCCCCATGTCTAAACCCTAAACCCTAAACGCCTGTTGCTTTCTTTTTGCCGGCCTGCACCTTCTCATGCCTGTTCTTCAGGATGGGCGTCAATCGAGGAAGCAGATCCTCGAACAGTAAAGGAATCTATAGGGATTCTAGACGGGTCTAGGGTTTAGGGCCTACTTGGAGGTTCAGGGCTAGTTACTAGTTATAAGTGGGGCTATAAGTCCCCTAACATGGGTTATATCTATAGCTATCCAACTTACAACCCTACTTACAACTACCCATGATCCTCCAATAGGCTTTCTTAGAGGTTGCGTGTTTAGGGGTTTATACAGGTTTCACAGCATTAGTATAGTCTTTGCCCTATCCCCGAACTAAGGGCCCGGGCCGCTGGAGAGCACTATGGCTTGAGGCTTCGATCCTGGATTCTCACTGTTCATCTCAGCATGACAGAGAACACCACCTGCAACAGTACAATGTAAGCCCTTTAGTATTTCGGTTTGGGCTTCGAGCTGACGCTTTGGGGCTATCCGGTTTGCGAGCTGGGGTCGAGGGTTGGATTTGGGGAATCAAGCTACTGCCAGTCACAAATCATATGCATAGTTCCCAAACCCTAAGGGTCCATGTACCCATATAGAGATACATGGGCCCCAATGTACTTATGTAGGGACTACATTAAGGTCAATGTTATAATATATGAGTACATGGACCCTTAGGGAAACACCCAGAAGCCTCAAAGCGAATAGAGTCTTGCAGCCCCACGCACCAACACCCAAACCGCCTGAGCCCCACTTCAGGAATACCGTCGTGTCAAAGCGCTACACCAGTCTGAAGATCTCAAGCACATGAAGAAGCTTCCGTACCGACTTGGGCTAACACAGCACACCTCTATGCTGGCAATGCGCTTCTTTCCATGCCGCACAGCACAAAACCTGCAAAAATAAAAATGCGATACTGTTTTTTGTACTGCACGGTACTATACCAAAACATCTACTACCATGTTGCTATACTGTATCATACTGTCTTCTACTCTACTAGGTGGGGCTTTTAAAGCCTTTGAAAAATATTAGTAAATAAGATCCTCTTAAGCCCAATAAGGGAAAATGCAAAATGTCCCAAAGCCCTACCTTGTCTATTATGCCCGCACTAGAGAACTGCCTTGATTGGTGGCGTCATCTTCGTCATACCAATCACGTTGACGATGGCCTTGAGGGCGCCCAAGATGGAGCCTCAGGCGCAACATGAAAAGCCACAGACGCTGGGTTGAGGGCATCATGCTTAGGGGACTTTCGCACTGATGTTAAACTACTGCTTTACACTTTAGGGTTTAATCCTAGCAGCAGTGTTGCTGCTACCGCGGCAAAGTCTACCAATGCTTTCTTCACCGTCGGTATTGCTGTTCAGAGTCCTGCCGCATTTCGACTGATATGAAATTTGGAAGTTTAGGAATTCAAAGCTACGGCTATACAGGTCCAGGGTCAGTTGCAACCAATCCTAAGCTATGTGGGGCTTTGAAAGCTTTTGAAAAATATTAGTAAATAAGATCCTCTTAAGCCCAATAAGAGAAAATATAAAATGTCCCAAAGCCCTACCTAGTAAGAAGTTGCAGGTTCGATTGTCCTAAACAACCCATGCCTTGCAATCAAAGTCTGGGTCCGAAGCTGCAAAACCCTAAAGGGAACTCCAGAAAGTTGGAATATGGTTTCAGGGTAGGATACCCTATAATTTACCATAAAGGGTGTAGGATAATCATATTCCAACTTTCTGGCTTTTACTTTAAACCATAAACCTTAGAAGGGGGCCCCACCCTGTAATAGCGGTATAATAGGAATATAATGGGGGCCGAATATCATCCTTATAGGGTGGGGGCAGCTTCTAACCATAAACCCCTAAACCCCGAAACATTATAAGACACTGGGCTTGTCCGTGCCGCTTGACTGAGAGATTCTTGATTGACAGTTCTCGTTCGGCTTCGCGGCTTGGGGCGAAGGTGTTCACGGGTTTTAGGGTTTAAGGTTAAGGTTTTAGGTTTAGGGTTTAAGGTTTAGGGTTTAAGTTTAGGGTTTCAGGTTTAGGGAACGGGATGAGGAATTATCACCTCTTTCAGAGCTTGGTTTATGATGGTGTCCTGGATTGTCTGGAGGCGGGGCATGGCACCCAGGTGGCCAACCGGTAGTCAACTGGAAGTCGAGATTGTTTGCGTAGCATGGGCTTAGAGGCATGAGCTCTGGTGGGCACCGAAAGAACCCTAGAGTGATACTGGCCATGACGGTATTCAGAATCGCAATGAACAGAAGCCGTGAAGATGTTATTCATCACCAGCGTTGCCATCAGCGCTATAGCCCAAGCCCTGACATTGCCACTGATACTTGTTGACGGAACGGAAGAACGGAAGAGGGGCACCACTACCACTGCCGCCACCATCAACGAAAAGCAAACCGCTTACTGAAGATGACAGCCAGAAGACGGTCTTTAAGTTAAGGCACGGTAGACGTGACCACGAAACCAAGTAAGACGACTGTCATTTGTGCTGGTATGCCATCAACCCTACATACATGGGATACGGCTGATGATGTAAATCCTGCAGTACCTATAATCAGGAATATACCAGAATTCCCATAGTTTAGGGTCATTACGGTAATGCAGGAATATCATCAACCGCATTGCGCAGTTTCAGAGAGCCTGGAAGTTGAGTCCGGCCTTCTTTGGTTGCCGAGTGGACTAACCCTAAACCCTAAACTCTAAACCCCTAAACCCTAAACTTTAAGGACGACATGGACCCGAAAAGGAGCTTAAGGTTCATATGGGTGGTTGTCAATATTAGGGTCCCTTTTTGCGTACCCTAAATATTAGGTGCCGTATTATAATAGGGACCCCAAAGGGGATCATAATTTTGACAACCACTCATATATATATATATATATACACCATAATTACAGGGGTTCATAGCAAAGGGAGAAGGGCCCCTGTGTTGACGGGTCACTGGGCACCCGAGGATTTGAGAGCCTAACCAGCCCTCCAACCTGACCGAGAACCACTCCCCCCTGAGCCCTACGCAGGATCTAAACCATCAACCTGAAACAGAACCCCCCCCCCCCGAACAAGCACCGAAACGCTAAACCTTAAACAACGCCAAGAAATCTACAGCGCTGAGAGTGAGGCCGAGCACTTCCGGATACTCTTCACCAAGATACTCGTAGAGGAACAAGCCCAAGTGCCTTTAGTTCGGTTTAGGGTTCAGGGTTTAGGATTTGGTCAGATTCGAGGTTGCGAGGTTTCGTGTGCAAGATTCTGCAACATACCGAACCACATCACACCATAGAGATACAGATGTAGATGACGGCTTAGGGCTTAGGGTTTAGGTTTATTGCACATGTGAGAATATACTGGGTATACACACAGGTTCTACATACAGGGAGCGCTGAACCCTTACAATCCAACCCCCCGAAAACCGTTCATAAGCCATAAATTAGAAGCTGCCCCCACCCTGTAATAGTGACTATAAGGATTATATTAGGGGCCCCATTATATTCCTATTATACCACTATTACAGGGTGGGGGCCCCTTCTAAGCCATAAATTAAAACCTGAATCCTGGGCCCAGTAACCCCAAAGAACCCTGAAACAACACTTAGAGGGCCCTGAGATGCCTCAGCGATAAACCCCAGACCCTTTCAAACACTAAACTCCTAAACCCCTAAACATAAAACCCAAACCCCCCCAAAACCACACAAAAAAAAAAAAAAAACTCAAAACCCCAAACCCGAAAGCATGTGCCCCAAGCCCTCGAGCAGTAAGGCACGGACCCCATCATCTGCTCCTGTGGCTCCGGAGCTACCAGGACAGCTGTACCCTGCACCCTGAACCTTCATCCCACACGAGGTTAAGGCTTTGGGTTCAGGGGTTTAGGGTTTTTTGTTTAGCGCCTTTTTCCGCCTGCCCATGCTATCCGAACTGACAGAAGGCCAGATTTCGGCCAGGTGTGTTTAAGGTTTAGGGTTTAGGGGTTCTTGTTTGCCCTAAGCCCTAAACCCTGAACCTTCAACCCTAACACCAGGTTTAAAGCCTCTTTGCCCTTAGCCCTAAACTCTAAACTTTCAAGCCCGAAACCAGGTTTAGAGCTTTTCCGCTCTTAGCAGCTCTTCAACCCGTTCTTGAAATGGCCAAAAAATAAAATATATATATATATATATATATATATATATTCCTTATGGGGGTAATATAGGGATTTTTATTTTATTTTTGGGGGTTTCTTCAGCAAATAGTAGGAAATGGCAGTTCTCCTCGCCGCATTGCTTCATGACCACCGCAATTCGGGCAATCAAGTCTGCCGCCTGCTGCCCTCAGCGTTGGCTTGGGGTCTATAGGATACAGGTATAGGGTCCTGTTGTTAGGTCCCCAAAAGAGCACGGCAACACTCTAAAAGTTAAAACGGGATCCCTAAGGGACCCTAACCTAGAGAACTGCCCATATGGGGTCTCACAGACGACCTTTGTGTGGTCTGAGGGGGTTTATACAGCTTGGAGCTGTGCGGTATACGGTTTCGGGTTTCTTTGGCCTTACAAGTTTGAGAGAAGCTGCAGAAGAATGTCCACGCGAACTTGTGGAATCTGGTGCTGGACACTCCCGTGCGTCCAGTACACAAAGAGCCCGAACCCCAAAAGCAAGGCGTACAGAATATTGCATACCCACTTGCATATTCAGAAACCTATGTTGTTGAAAAGCATTCTTCAAATGGGCGGGTACCTGGAGCTGACCCCTTCCTGGTTAAAGCATTACGCAGACCTTGGTACCGGAAAAATGTCCACTGGGATCGGGGCGAACACGCGCCGAGGGCGTATTCAGCCGCCATCTGGACAGTCAAGCACATCGATGCTTTGCAAGGTCTCTCATCCAATGAGGGCTCACAAGTGTAATGGGTTCGCTGGCCGAGTCAGGTGTAAACTGGTGAAGATTTGAGAGAGCATGAGGTAAGCATGCAGCAAACAATACCATACCATACCATACTACATACACTACTACAATCTACTATGACAATATACCATACTTTATCATATCATTTTGATACAGTTAGCACCTGTGGCCTGAACTGAAATGGAAGAGCACCAAAGACCAAAGCCTTAACTTTGTGCGAGCAGGCCAATTCTCCTTAGAATTTACCCATAGGCCCCATAGTAGTTCCTTTTTGGGATTAGCTTCTAGGATTCTACACATGAACCCCAAACAGGAACTACTTTTGGGGCCTATGGGTAGGCTACTTTTCCCCAAAATCGTGCAAACTGGGAGTTTGCGCTTCAATCTGGAGGCGGGTTAGTTCCACTTCTCTCTTGCGGAAGACAGGGCCCAGAGACTCCAATACCCCTTAATTAAGAAATATACCTTAAATCATATTAGGGATCCCACCATAATTTAAGGAATATTCCTTAATTAAGGGATATTGGAGTCTCTGGGGGTCTGCTGTGAGGTGGGCTGAATGCTAGCTACGGACTTCGGTCCTTGCGGGAAGGTTCCCGAGTGATATAGGAGCCTTCATGATTGGAACACCGCTTTCTGGGCGAGGTACATTGTCGCAAAGATTTAACACGGACCCCTAAGGAATACTAGCGTCAGAGTTTTCGGGCTTCTATATGAGTTTCCTCCGGCTACTTGAGGGTTGGGCTGTGGCCAGCATCCTAACCCTCGAGCATGGACATGCCACTCTTCTAGGATATGAGCCACCAAAATGCTGCCCTCACTGATGTATATTCACCACGAGGAGACTGGTCAATCGAGCCCATCACACGGGCCCACACGACCATCTGAATCTTTATCCAGCCAAGAACTTAGCGTTTTTGAGAGTTGGAGGTTTCCCCATCGAATGCCCGGCTCCGAGATTCACATCCTCAAGCTTGCCCTACAGCTCCAAATGCCAAAGCCCCTGAAAGCCCAAAGCACTCCGTGGAACGACCTGATGATACCAGCAATCTGCGGCAGGTACGGTTTCACACCTCACGGACAGATGGCTCTGGTGCATTATCTAGGGTTGCGGAGTATCCATGTTGGTTATTCAGAAGGCCGTTCAAGGTTAGGTACGAAGATCCTGTGACTGTATGACATTGTACCCCGACTAAGCGGGTCGAGCATGACCGCCTACGTAGGGCTTATGCTTGCCCCTAGGGTTAGTAGGGAATGGAGGAATGGGGTACAATTGCAACTACTGTTACTACCATTCTTCCATTCCCTACTAACCAAAGGTAAGTACGGTTGATGATATAAATCCTCCATTACCCATAATGAGGACTATACCGTAATTCTCATAGTTTCGGGTCCCTAAGGTAATGCAGGATTTATATCATCAACAGTATGGTCCAGTGGCGGGCACTGTGCATAGAAGTGCATCGGAGTCCCAGGGGGTTGACTCAAGGGCTCTCCGCCGAAAGTGGCCGAAACCCTAAACCCTTAAACCTCAGCCCTAAACCCCTAAGCCCTTAACCCCTAAACCCTAAATCCCATACCGGATCACACGAATCTCGAAGCAGATCGGGACGTTTCTGGTCCAGAGTTGAAGGAAGGATCGACGTGCTGCACTCAATCGAGCTATAAGAAATCCATCCCTAAGCCAGTGATTCCCCACACCCCTCTTTATGTAATACAGTTATTATACCTTGGTTCTGATGTTCGTCAGGGAGACTCTGCAAAAAATTGAAAAAATCCTGCGGGCTCTCTGTAATGATGTCAACAGTCGTTGAGGGTATAGGATTTAGGGTTTAGGATGGTTTAGGGTTCTTGCCACGTAGGATGACTTCCACCTGGGTTGAGGGTTTAGGGCACATTGAAGGGTCAGTCGTCATGTTGGACTCCTTCTCTTGGACCACAAAACCTACACGGCATACTATTTCGGGGTTCCTTAAACTAGTTATATTGCAACGGGCACCAAAACCCTATTCTAATGATTGAGGCCCCCTTTATCAATCAAAAGAGCCCCAAATCCGGGGTTCAGCTCAAGAGGCGGTCCGGCACTGAGTTTCCCGCGAGGGCCCAGAGAGTTTACCACGGTACCGAAGCCGTTCAACATCACAGTGGTGTCGTCTGATGTCTGCTCCTGTGTGTATGTGTAAGATATGGCGTGCAGGAGCCCTGACCCTCAGCCGCAGTAGCGAAACCGCAACACTCAGAACATAAACCCAGGAGCAGTGTTGCCTACAATCCGACGACCCGATCGCCGAACCCACAGAGAGACTGTCGGAGAAAAACCGTCCTGAAAGGCGTACACAATGCCATCGATGATCTGCTCCTCGAGAGCAGGAAACGCAAGCTTCATTCGCAAGTGCTGAAATAGGCGGAATGACATATCGGCTGTAGCCAAGGATTTCATACGAATCTTAGTAGCACTAGTAGCAGCTCTTTGAAGTAGCCGTAGCAGCAGCATTCGCACTAGGCGTAGGAGCAGTAGGAGTAGGAGTAGTGGGGGGTAGGAGTATATAGGTGTTATCAGGATTAGGAGTAGCAAAAGCAGTGGCAGTGGCAGTGGCAGTCGTCGTCGTAGTAGTACTAGACATCGTGCTAGATGCTGTTTGCCGTAAGGAACCAGTCTGCAGCCTGGAGGACAGCTGTCTGTCAGAACACCCCGTCCTCAAGTCGCGAGTCAATATCGGCCACACCCAAGTTACCGATGACCTGCGGATGCGTTATGATGATGACAAGGTTGTCGGACGGGAAGGGGGCTGTCAAGTTCGAATATCGAAAGCTCACATGAGCTGGTTGAAGATTTATGATTGTGCTATAGGTGTCCACAGGTTCCACCCGGGAAGCAATCAACCTGGTTGAAATTGAAACATCTCAATCGATGGTGATTTGGGAGTTTCCGAAAACAGGGGTGCCTATATTATAAAATTAGGGTACTATATTAAGGTCCCCTATTTTCGGAAATCCCCATTGCTCTGCAGATGCAAGCTTTAATAGATTGAGGCAAGCTGTTGGCGGAAGGCTCGCGTTTACAGCCCTAAACCCTACAAGCGCCTAGCTGTGCACCCGAGCTGGTGAACCTCGTACGCCGATAAACCCAAGAGCCTAAACTCTACACCCTAGAAGCCGCAGACCCTGTAGCCAACGCAAAGATTTGAACACACCGTACCCTAAACCTGTAAAAAGTACGATAAGCCCCAGAGCCCCACTTCCTGAACACGTATGGGGCTCCTGACTATGTTGAGTCCTGAGGGATCGGTGCAAGCTGATTCTGCAGACTAAAACCCTTTCCAAACCCTAAACCCCAAGCCACGAACAATGCCCCCCCCCCCCACCTTGTCGATGGTCTCCATGACCATCTTACGGTACGGCTCGCTGGCATCCTTGAGGTCCTGCCAGTGGGAGGTCCATGGGTAGTTATGAGTGGAGTTATACGTCTAACAATATCGGTTACAAGTTGTCAGGCTTCTAAAAGCTCTAAGTCCTAGACCTGCTTGTGAAGGTCCCTGTACACATAAAGTCTAACAATATAGACAATACAGATTTCAAGCGTTGTCATCCTGCTTCTACCCTCCTTATAACTACCCGCGGAGCCATCTTGGGTTTTTGTTAGGAGGCTTGGTGCTGCTTTGCAGTTTAGGCCCAGGTTTGGGGTTTACTAGGGTCTAGGGTCTGAGGGTCTGAGGCTGTGTCAGAGGCAGAGGCTAAGCAAACTTGCTCTGCGACTTTTAAACGACCGCCGCACGATGCTCATCCGGCCATGCCTCACCGTAGCAGCATTTGCTGGATGTTGCTGCTGACATCCCCACTTGTCGTTGATTCGCCTTGCCTTGTGCTTGAATCATGTTGAAGATCGTGTTCTTGATCTCGTGGCTAACACGATCTAAGAGTTCATCCAAAACACATGAGTCACCGCATTAATTGTTCTCGATTTATTTCAAACTGGTTTCTCATCACGAGGACTCACTAAGTACTAGACCCTCACTCGGGCTCTGAATTGTAGGTGTTGCTCAAGGTTCTATCACAAGAAGATAGGGTGACCAAAACGGCAGCTTTCCCCTAAACCCTAAACCCCAAACCCTAGCAGGCCCCCAAAGACCCCGGCAAGTCCTCCACAATCCGGCCGATGATGTCTGCGCCACCGACCTCCACTTCGAGATTCCGAAAATTAGGGCTACCTTTATAAGGAGGATCCTACTATTTCGGATTTCGGGTTCTATACTAGGGTCCCCTAGTTTCGGAAACTCTCGCTTCGAGTTTCCAGGCTACTTGGAGGGTCGCGGGACTTAGTCGTCTAAACGATTAGAATAAGGTTTTGGGGCCTATGATACTGTGATTTTGGGGACCAATATACTGTAAATAAAATAAGGAACCCCAAAAACAACTTATATAGATAACTATTTAGGCCCCTATAGTAGTTGTTTTATAGAGTTATAAGTACCGCAACCCCAATTGGAGTTCCGTTTAGAGTACTTATAACTCTACAAATTATAAACGAACTCACTAAGTCCCCCGACCCTCCAAGCAGCCCCGCAGCCGCTCTAAACGCCACGAACCCCGACTTTGGGTTTGGGGGCTTGAGGGCGTAAGGGTTCAAGGGCTTAAGGGTTTAAGGGCTGCACACTTTAAAAATCTAAGGGCTTCAGGGTCTAAGGAGGCTCTCGGCCTCAATCATTGGAACGCGGTTCGGGGTAGATTAGAGTGTGTTCGTATGCATATACCTATCTATATGTATATATATATATATGCATGTCCTATCTATCTACCTCTCTGTCTACAAATGTGTTTATTTACAGGGTTGTAAGGAAATTACTGCCACTGCATAGAGCGAGCTAGTCAGAGCCCTTGTAGTACATAGATTCCTGAGGATCTCTTGGGGCTGGGCGGCGTAGGTTTCCCGGGCCCGATTTAAGCCGCAACCGATCGGGCCATGACTAAATTAGACTTTGGGGGGATCTTGATGCTATGATACTTCCTTTGTTTAGGGTTTAGTGCTTGTGGGGCCTTGGCGCTGTCATGGTCCTAAGGAACTAAGGACCTCTATAAGGAAGCCTAAGGAACTGTAGAGGTAACTCTCAGACCCGTATCTTACGAAGGTTTTTGCGATTTCTTGCTGTTGCTCGTCCTGCATGTCGCATTCACGGTAGGGCGACAAACACTACTCTGCCGATGGCCAGAATTTGAACCATCGCTTATTGCTTGTCTGAACGGCCAGACATACCAGTGGCGCCAACTGTTCTACTCTGCTTCCTGGGTGCTACTTCCGCCTCTGTCCTGCTACGACTTAGGATTTAGGGGTTTAGGGCCTTTGGTGAAGGGTTTAGGGCTTATAAGGCTTTAGGGATTCCATTCAGGGGCCTTGTTGGCGATCTCCACTGTTGTGTCCACCAGCTGCCGGTAGTTTCTGCGGTCCAAGGCCATGCGGACCTGAGGCTTGTGGTCTGCAGTTCTAGGGCTATTAATATCAGCACCTGAATAATTAGAACAAGGTTCCTGGGGCCTATAAGGGCTACTATTAGGGATCTATAAGGGTACCTGAAACAATTAGAATAGGGTTTTGGTGCCCGTGAAACTATGGTTATAATAAGGAAGCCCCAAAACGGTATATATTGGAAATTATGTAGGCCCCTAAAGTAGGCCTATTGAGACGTGAACCTGCTTTAGTAAGGGTTTAGGCTTGGCTTAGGGTTTGCCAGAAATGCGATGAAACCGAGGTCCAGCTAGCTGGCCTCTGTAAATTGAACTTCCGCCTTTCCACAAACAAAAACGACAGGTGCAACTCCAAACCTCGAAGCCCCAAACCATCAAACCCGAGAGCGCACCGACCACATCTATACCTCCCGGCCCTAAGCCCTGAACCCTAACCTAGGGGCCTTAATAATTAGACTAGGGTTTTGGGGCCCATTGTACTATAATTATAAGAAGGAATCCCCAAACTAGTATATGGTAATTATTCATTTAGGCCCCTATATTCAACGCCCACCTACAACACACTTTTCGACAGGTTGACCTGAGCGTCTCTACCTGAAACCATGTGCTGTACAATTCGCACAACACACCGAAGTCACCTGCACCATGCGACCGGGTCGGAGAGCAAGAGATGAAGTGCTGCAGAGGCTAGGTAATTGGTATAAGCGGAATGTCGAGGGTCCCCTTTTTAGGGGCTTAGGCTTTAGGGTTTGGGGTAGAGCCATAAGTATATAGGGTTAAGAAGGGTCCCCTTTCAAGGAGTCTCCCTAACACTACCGAGGCTTGAAGATTATGCAGTGGTCAAGAGTTGGTCCCTTTTAGAAGGACTACCTACAGTAGTAGCCCAAAAGTTGGAAACCCCAGAGCCTCCATCCTTAAGAGGAATGTATAGGGAATCCCAGCACTATTCGGCCTTAATCCAGTTTCCAACTTTATGGGGTTTACTGTAGGTCTCTCTGGGTCTTAGGATTTAGGGCTTGGGGTTTAGAGGTGTTTGGGGAAGTGAAGACGAAGTTCAGGGAACTTGGGGTTTAGGATTTAGGGCATTTGCGGCTCAGTGCCTGTCGTTTATGGGGTTTACTGTAATACTTTCGGGGTGTGAAGATGACCGCAACGCAGCTCCGGGATCAGGAGTTTAAGCCCTTTTTTCCTACTTTCATGGGGAACTAATGGTTAACCTTTTTGGTTCTGTAGGGATTATATAGGGACTATACTACCCAACAAAAAGGTGAAAGGTGACCTACTCTACTACTAGGGTTTGCAGGAAGCGGAGAACAGAAGCTTCGAGTGCGAAGAGGACGGCTATAGCTCCCGACATTGAACACTTGGTTGTAGTCTTGGGGCTCTGAAAAGTATTTATGAAGAGGTACCTCTATAGAAACCATGAAGGAAAGTAAAAAGTTCCCCAAATTGCCACCTAGACTACTAGGCTGTTCAGTAACCCAATTTGAAAAAGTATATACCCTTTCAGGCTTCTTATTTTATAATCGGAACCCAGAACCCTGAAAGTAGAAAAGTGTACCACTGAACAGCCTGGTAGAACACCAAACCTTTAAAGTAAAAGCCAGAAAGTTGGAATATGATTATCCTCAACCCTTTATGGTAAATTATAATTATACGGTATCCTACCCTGAAACCATATTCCAACTTTCTGGCTTCTACTGTAACCTCAAACTGCCCTCAGCCCTGGAGCCGACAGCATTCAAGCCTGAAGCAAGCCCATGATCACCAGGTGCAAACTTCTAGCCAGCTTCAACCCACCAGAATTCTCCAGCACTAGGGTTCTAGGGTCTAGGGTTTTAGGGTTCAGGACTGTTCTTAAAGGTTTATTTAGGGTTCAGGACTTTAGGGCTTTGGGTTCCGGCGCCCCCTGGGGAATGGCGTTCAGGTACCCTCCGGACAGCTTCCCCGACTTGTGCTTGGCAGAAGCCCATCTGGCTCACCCTTGTCCGTTTAGAAGTAATAGACAGAGCCCTATACCTATCTCCCTTAGTAGGAATTATTTAAGAAGGTCTACTAGCCGGTCTGTTTATTCTTTTGGGGGAACCATGAAAAAGGACAAGGCTGATCTGGCTTTCGTCAGGAAGCCAACATCTCTCATTCCGAGTGCCCTCTTTGGGAGGTAGGATCAGGGGAACCCTGTGGGGACGTAGAACCTCTCAACAAGGTCCCTTTTAAGAGAGGGCTACTTGGCCCAAAAAAGGGCTTGGGGAGTTTACGGCTTAAGATGTAAATGGCTACGGTTTCTCAGGGCAGGGGGTTAAACTGTTAAAATACGGTAGGATTATACGAACCCCAAAGGGTTCAAGGTTTCCTACTCAGCTACTAAGGTTGGGATCAGGGAAACCCTGGGTGATATAGACCCTCGCAATATTCGGATGCTCAGGGTTGTTGGTTTAGGGGTTTAAAGTTGAGGGGTTTCGGGTTTGGGGACACAACCACACAGGAACTTCAAATCTCGACTCATGTCGGCATAGAGATGCAGAGTCGAACAAGGGCACTAGGATCGGCATCTGAGCTGCTAACTCAAGAAAGGCTTCAGGTGGGCACTGTGCAAGGAAAAGGAATCGCTCTTAGGTCCCAAGCCCATATACCTTGAGGCTTAGTTGGACATATGGGTGGTTGTCAAAAAATTACGGTCCCTTTTTGGGTCCCGATTATAATACGGCACCTAATATTTAGGGTACCCCCAAAAGGGGCCATAATTTTGACAACTGCCCATATCGGTGTGAGGGTAAAGGCAACTAGGGCCTGACGCTTCAGGGTGTAGGATTCAGGGTTTAACACAGGAAATACAGCGCAAAGGTTTGAAGGTTTAGTTATTGAGGATTACAAATACCAGAAGTATATAGAAGGGGCGCTGTCCCTAAAATTTAAAAACTCGGTCATGCAGACCTTTGTTTTAGGATCCGTAAGGTGCGAAGGCGACTTGATTCGACTTGATTATCAGACTGGGGTCTCCTGTGAAGCTCATAAAAAAGGACTGCTTGGCGAACGCTATAAACCCTGAACCCCTAACTAAAGACTACTTGATAAACCTTACTTAAGCTTTAAGCCCTGAGCAGAAACTAAAGACTACTTGATAAACCTTAAACTTCGAGCCCTAAACAGAAACTAAAGACTACTGGAATCCTTCGAAGAAGCTGCTCCCAACAGTATCCAGGGAGCCCTAGAACCCGGTGCCTATGGAACTTGAAGAGGGTAACTGCATCGCGAAGTCCCGAAGAAAACAGTATTCATTCAAGCATATTGGAGTCTGTGGGTCACCTAGACCCTCAACTACCGAAAGACCCTGGACCCACAAACCCTCAAATCTGCACCTTGAAGCAAGCCCTCAAAACCCGCTAAGACGAGGTAGTCGCATACGCCCTTAGGCCCTCAGGCCCTTCCTCTCATCATTCTCTAAACCCGACATCCGAAACTCTAAATCCTCAACCCAGAACCCTACACCCGAATTCAGAGCACGCGCCCAGAAGCCGAAGCCAACCTGAACACATTGAACATGGTTGACCTCCACCACGGCCGTGCCAATCGCACCAAATACATGAACACACACCATACGAGCCTATATTATCATGCAGTAGAATAGAATAGACGTGTGGAATCTGGTGAGGCGCGACGTCATTAGCTATCTCTCTCTCTCTCTCTCTCTCTCTCTCTCTCTCTCTATCTATATATAAATATATATACATATATATATATATATATGTATATATATATATATAGATATGCACATACGCATGTGAAGATGTATGTATGTATGTATGTATGTATGTGCATATTATATATATATATATATATATGTATGTATATGTATGTATGTATATGTATGTATGTATGTATGTATGTATGTGCACAGGCATATTTATATACTACATCACAACCTTTCTATCTTTACAAAGGTATACGCAACCATCAACATGTACACACACAAGCACGGGCGCACATATAATCATAGCCTCGAACGCAAAAAAAACACTTGAACATACCTACTGGCAGGTCGGCATCTCGCTCGCACTGGGAGCCAACCATGCAGGGGGGCAAAGAGCCCGTCTGCTTCTCAACAGAGGGACGGAGCGCCTGCCTTGCGTAATAGCTCAATATATGTACATTGGGGCTTTGGAGCACGTTATGGTATACTGAGAACCAGAAACCCAAAGAAACACCATGACCAATTGTTTGACTACTCAGACTACTCGGGCTTCTACGGAAGGCTTCTGATATGAAGGGTCCAGTTTGCAAAGACTGTTCTGTCCCTCTGAATTATTTTCAACGGTGGGTAGTACATCCGGGATCTAGGATTCGGGTGGAGTTGGTTGATATGACCCTACCATACCTCAAAACCCTCGTCCAAGCGACAAGGCTCCCGTATTATGCGGAGGAATGTAGAACTTGAGGACAAAGGGCAGGGAGGAGCTGTGTTGGATTCTCAGATCAGGGTTTGGAGTTTAGGATTTGGGGCGTAGGGTTGAGGGATCGGGGTTTCGGGGCTTTGGGGTTTTAGGCGATGGTAGTCTCCATAGTGTATGACGGCCCTGAAACCGGATAGACACCCGCCGCGTCTACAGCAGCTACATTGCATCTCGACTTTTAGCAACCCTACACTGAGAACCGAAATGCATCAGAACCCAGAGAGCCCAATACCCCTTAATCAAGGAAGATGGCTTAAATTATATTGGGCTTCATATTACGATTTAAGCTATATTCCTTAATTAAGGGGTACGGTATTGGGCTCTCTGGGAAGCTACCGATCTGCAAGCCAGACATCTTGAGTCAAATCAATTAATGGCCGCGAGGGCAGCCAGTGGCATTTGCACGTATATCCGGCCATTGGTCTCATGAGCAAAGACACGGGGCTGAATAAGCAACAAGACTGTTCCTTAGAGATCCCAAAGAAAACTGCAATAGAGAACCCCTTCAAGCCCCAGTCCCAGTCTTCAAGCGTCTATATATTAAGA